TAATATATATCTTGAATCGAAATTGCAGTAATTTCGAACACGTTTAAAATTGATGTTCAGAAATTTGCTTATTAATATTTTATTAACAAATATACAAATTCGAATATAGAGGCACATTCGTTTTGTTTCATGAAGATAACTGCGAACGGCTGTGTCCAAAATTGTGTGCTAGCGCTGCTTCGTCTTTATTTCCTGCGCACTAACGGACCACCTGATTTTCTCACGTCCTAACTACATCCATCTTCGATGTAACAAACAATGGTGAGAAGAAGTAACCCCATAACGTTGCCTCGTACTTTGTACCTAACAAAAACTGGCTTAAGTAACACAATTCAGAGAGGTGTTCAGTTGAAATCGCGCTTCCTTTCGGCTTCGACTAAAATCTTCGATAAAAAAAAGTCGTCGTATACCGCGGCGCAGGGTGGGACCGGCAAAACACTGCAAGGACAGGCACTGCATTGTAAAGGAATACGTAAAAAAACAAGAGGTGAGAGATGCGTTTGTCTGTACCTTTCACCGCAAAGCCGCAGCTGCAGGCTCTGTACCTTTGTCCAGATGATCTAAAATGCTGCAGCTACGCATGCCGCCGGCTTGCGGCGACGTGAAGCGGTACCCATTGTGCGCGGTAAACACACGAATGCACAAGGGCTCACGTGCTTTCTTTCATTTTTTTGAGTTTTTTCTAAGTATATTGTGAGAGCGGTTGTTTTCTCGCGTTCGCCTAGTATTGCAGCCTAGATAATGCGCACATGTTAAAAAAAACTATTATTCAACTTGTAAAGGGCTACTGTCTGTGCATAAATTTCCCCATTATGAGCCATTCTACATTTAAACTGTACGACGTCGCTGAGTTTAGGTCGTGTGGCTTGCGGAGGTATAGGGCATTGCAGTTTAGGCAATGCCTGCAGAACAGGTAGCTTTTGTTAAAAATCTGGACTTTATGCCATTTTTTTCCTCCAACTTAAAGGAGCTTTTTTTTTCAAGATTTTTGAAGGCACGTAGGGCATGGTGTAGAAATTACAATAGCAGAGCGCAAAGGTAGTTGGCGCAGATTTATGGTAACTAAATATAATTGAACATACTGGATTCTAAAATGGAGGCTCGCCGACTAGTGTTAGCACCACTGGAATGTGAAAAAGTAATGTCATTTATGCTTGCTTTCACCTAATTACCCGTGTCATTTATTTGGTTCTGTCCAACAAATGAACAAGCCAGTTCGATTTGTTTTCTTATTTAGTTCGTCAGCTATCTACTGTTGTGAAACTCATGCCACAGTGACATTCTTGTCAGTTCTCGTGACTTAAGAGTAGCTGCATGGTATAGCTAAGGAAAGTTTATACGACAGAAATTAAAGTCGATTATAATTACACTCGAAGACGACGAGAAGCTAACGCTTCTTTTATAGACTCTTCTTTAACGACACTTGTTTGTCAGCTTCTTCTTTGTGTGTTCTTTTTTTTCCCTCTTGCAATTCAGTTCTTTTTTTTTTCTGCTCTTGGCTGCTAAATGAAGGTCGTCCTAGTATTCACTTTTTTTGTATATCTTTTCGTGCGTTCATTTGTTTACCAATTGAAGTTCGTGCGTTAAACGGGAGAGATTTCAGTCTTGTGTATCCGGCCCATTCTTCGTATTCGTGTTCGCGAGTGTTCTACATCTTGATAATACCTTTTCGATATCTTTTTTTGTCTCTTTCGTCCAGTTTTGCTTCTTTTGCGTGGACAATATTCGCACATTCTGCTCGCCCCTGACGGCTTCGGCTGCGTTGCCGCGGCCGTGATTAAACAGTGGCCATTGTTGGTATAGCTAAGTCCTAAATAAGAAAGCCAAAAAAAAACGTCAAGAAAAAATTAGCAATGACGCTGAAACTGAACGCTGGTGCTTTTCACGCACGGAGTTTGGTGTCAGAACACTGCTAGAAAATTCGGCGCTACTGTCTGCAGTTACCGTAATGCATGACGCTTCAGTTAGCATGGGAATGATGGGTATAGTGCGTAGATTCGCTTGTAAGTTTACTGAAGCATGGCGATGATGAGTATAGTACATGGATTTACCTATGAGCTTCGTTCAGAATGCAAATCGTGGGTTGTACATGGATTCGCCTATAAGCGTCGTGCTTTCAGCTCCGTGTGTCTCCGCGTGGCTTGCTGCAGTTTCCTCGCAAGACGTGGTTCAGTGAAAGTTCGCCAGTACCACTTCACCAGCTCGGGCCATTTTAGAATTACCAATTCAAACCAGATCCCTATAGGTTCACAGCGAGCCACTCTTTTATCCTGAACAAACGCCAATACACAACGCTAGACAAAGCCGCAAGTGCGTAGGAAGTCACATACGCGAAGACTGAAGCCAAATTCGTGAACTTTACGCATCATTATTGTGGTGTCTGAAAGACCAAGGCACCACAAGTTGGTAAATATTGTTGTACACAGTTGTCACGTAGAGTGTAGCGTTCCCGCTGTGTTGCTTTATACCGCTACGTCTGCGTGCGTGCGTCTGTTAAGCTCACGGCCGCTTAGAAGACGAAACTATAACACAGTCTTCGCAGGTTGAAACGGTAAAACAAAAGAACTCCTTGTTTTTCACGTGCTGCGTTTCCGTGCTTTTTTTTTTTCTTTTCCCTCGCTGTTGTCTTTCCGGTGGCTTTTCGTTTCTTGCACGTGTTACTGCGGCTTCGCGAGATAAAACGAATCGCACTTGTGAGCAAAATGCAAATTTCTTACGCTCGAATTTTTACATCTAGGCCTAGCGTAGAGACGTGGTCTTTTCGCATACTTTGTTTTTCTGTTTGCTAGAAGGTGTTGCGCAAACCAGACGACAAAACAAACCCTTCGTCGGCATCACTCTTTCGCCTGAGTCGTCATATGCGCCTGTACACTTTTGTTTCTTTTTCTATTTATTAATATTCGTTTTTTACCTTGTGAATACATTTCTTCTCACGTGCCCAAGATATAACTTGAAGGGTTTTGAATATTTCAGGAGGGCATCGCTGCTTCGAGAGCGTGGTCTTCTGTAATGCGAATGAATTCGCCAAAAATAACCATTCTGGGCAGAGTTTCGCGTTCGCATAGTATAGTGTCTTCCGGCTGAGATGGTTGCCACAAGACTTCTACGTCTTGCTCCACGATAAGAGAAAATTACAGAGTGATTTTGTTCTACACCACTTGGTCCAGACCACTTATCACCGTTCATTCCGTGTATATGGCGTGATTTTTTTTCTTTATCTGAGAGTTTTATTGTACTCCCTGAAACGATGAGACCGTACGACCTTTTCGTATTTTCGCTTCGTGTTGCCTTTTATTTTGCTATTTTCAGTGTGAGTGGGCCTGTCATGCTTTGAAATGCAGCTTTTTTTTGCCCTTCACGCGTACCTGATACAAAGTACACGTGCCTTCACCATTTCGCCTTCGTTGTGGTGCGACTGCCACATCATGAGTCAAACCCGCGACCTTAGGGTCAGCATTCGAGCACCGTTTTCGCTACACTATCGTGGTGGACTATAGTGTCGTTTCCGCCCTTAAGATAGCTTTGAGTCTATCGCCCCGAAGACATATCTGTGGGCACTTCACCAGAAACAAATAAGAGCATGCTCTGCATACTTTTCACACACTGTATTTCACTAATGTAGCTTAAACAAGTGTGGCATCAGGAATGCGGCCATTGCAATGACTAATGGTATATTTTCCTTGCGATTCATTAATCACATATGCTCTTTTACGAAAGAGTAAAAGGGTCCTGCGAATCAAACAGAGTGCCGAAGTTGTAGCAGCTTGCGCATGCATTGCCTGCATTGCTATATGATGATATATATCAAAAAGCAGTGCGACATCAGGAATGCAGCAGCCAGAAGGAATTATGTAACATTTTTATTGTACTTTATTCATAGCTTGCACTTTATCAATCTTTTGACAGGGCGGAAGAAGGTATAGAACGTCGTTATCGCAGTACTTTAAGTCCGAAACGCCGTTGTGAAATTGCAAAAGTAGTTTCCATGTGTCGTGGCAGAGACATCTCCAATGTTCCCGAATGTCAAAGTTGTATAATATACTGCTGCCAGAATTAACATTGACAAAATGTCAGATCTTACTCTATCGACACTATCTACACTTCCCTCGTACTCTCCCAGTTTTGCATGCGCATTGGTATAGCGAAAAAGTGTGAAGGCCCCTCAAAGTGAACATTGAATGAGTGAGTGAACCATTCAATGAATAAATGAAAGAATGATCAACCTAATTTGTCCCTGGTTCAAGCAAAGGGGCAGTGGGACAGAGAGTGATGACAATTTCATGCGTAGTAACGTGCGTTTATTGTACCTTTCGTTCACCTTCAGTTTTCAATAGTCCTAATACAGTGTGTTATGTTTTCATACGCATACATACATACATAACATACATACATACATACATACATACATACATACATACATACATACATACTACATAATACATACAGCATAACATACATACATCATACATACATACATACATAACATACATACATACATACATACATACATACAATAATCATAAATACATCTACAATATACATACATCCATCATACATACATACACATACATACATACATACACTACATACATACATACATACATACATACATACATACAACTACATACATACATAATACATACATACATACATACATACATACATACATACATACATACATACACGTGTGCGCGCGCATGCATCCAACCGTACACCGAACACGCGCACGCGAAATTACTCGATAATTGCGAAAGTTGTTGACAAGAATGTTGACAAAGCTACACGCCCCATTTATTGAAAGAACGAAATCTCTAACCAAGTAAAAGACAAATACAGGACTGTTCGACATGCGTGCTTTTAAAAAAGTAACATTGAAAAAGCTTCCAGCTGCCGATAAACCCTGACCTACACGAATCTTGTCACAGTGAAGAAAAACATGTTTATTTATTTATACGTACGTTTTTCACTCTGCAGGTTTGACCTTCATCACTGAGAGACCCGTCAGCTGTAAACCCAGGTAGACAAAGCATAAAGCAGTAAGTGCTATAGCTTTCTCATTTATCTTCCACGCGCCTTATTGATTGTCACTGCATTGTTTGAACGCCCATCAATTCCTCCTCCCTTGCTCTCGACGATGTCCGTGCCGCTTATCTTCATCTTACAGGTTTAATGACCACTGTAATGCCCTTGAAGTTGTTTTGAAATATGTCTGTTTAATGACAGCGTCAACGATTGACACTCCTATTTCTCTTCCGATGACTTCCTGTCAAGCACTTCCGGTTTTTACTAAATATAACTAGTGCAAAACCGATTGTTCTATACTCTGCGACCACTTTTCTTGACAACTCTGTGAACGCGATGGAACCGAAATGCATGTCTGCTATCGCGCCAGAAATTAATACTGAAGTTTACTGACAATTTTCTCATTTGCATTTCTGATATAAATGCAAACGAGAAAATGAGAAATTAAATGCAGCTAGTATTTACTTAGCAGGAATACTTTTGTTTTCTTACCATTCTGTAGACAGCACAATCTTATCAGAATTCCATTTTTCTATCAGATCAACATGGCGTTTATGACGTACAACGGGTCAGTGTGCATCCGCGAACGCGCTGTTTAGTTACTTAAAGGAAATATTGTCACGTTACTCTCGACAAACTTGATAAAAAAATGGGCTCGTTTAGTCGACTACTCAAGCAGCGGCTCAGAGAGATCGTCTTCGTCTTCTTTCACACTTCGATCTCACCCAAGCAAACCATGTGGCAATAGTCCCCCCCTTTGAAAGCATCGACTCGATGCTCGTAAATAAAAAAAAATGAAGGTATACACACGCAGATATAGAGAACCAAAAGAGGGAGAGTGCCACTACTCGCAGAGCAAATGAGGAAGTTTCGCCAACGCTTCCGCCAAGCGCAAAAAGAAAGGGCATAAAAACACACGAGAACACAAACAGCAGCAGCAACGCAATGTCACGGCATGTCGTAGCACGTGAAACCACAAGGGCTACTGTGTGAAGTAGGGCTTCAGCCGAAGGACATGCACGGTTTCGGGCCGAAGCTGTCGACGAGAAGACGCTGCGCCGTCCGGAAATACCTCGTAGGTAAGATCTGTGATTCGTCTAAGAACCTTGTACGGTCCAAAATAACGACTTAGGAGTTTTTCGGATAAGCCTGGTCGCCGGACAGGGATCCACACCCACACTCGGTCCCCAGGGTGGTAGGTGACATTTCGATGGCGGAGGTTGTAACGTCGTGCGTCTGCATCTTGTTGGTGACTGGTGTTTATGCGAGCTAGCTGACGAGCTTCCTCGGCGTACTGAGTGTATTGCTCAGCATCTTGAGCAAGTTCATTGCTTTCGTCGCACGGAAGCATAGCATCGAGCATGGTTCGCACGTTGCGTCCGTAAACAAGTCGGAAAGGCGGAAATCGCGTTGTTTCTTGCGTTGCCGTATTATAAGCAAACGTGATGTATGGAAGAATCTCGTCCCAGGTTTTATGTTGTACGTCCACGTACATTGACAGCATGTCCGCTATTGTCTTGTTAAGCCTCTCTGTCAGTCCATTGGATTGCGGATGATAAGCCGTTGTTTTTCGATGACTTGTGCAGCTCAGTTTAAAAATGTCCTCCATCATTCGTGCTGTAAACGACGTCCCTCTGTCCGTAATCACGCATGACGGGGCACCATGCCGTAGGACGATTTGGTGCACGAAGAACTGCGCGACTTCAGAGGCCGTGCCACGGGGTAACGCTTTTGTTTCAGCATAACGCGTAAGATAATCTGTCGCAACTATAATCCATTTGTTCCCAGAGGACGACAAAGGGAAGGGCCCGAGAAGGTCCATTCCCACGAGGTCAAACGGTGTCCGTGGTGGTGCGATCGGCTGGAGCAGGCCTGCGGGTCTCACAGGCGGAGTCTTGCGGCGCTGGCACTCACGGCAGCCTTTCACATATCGATGTACACTAGTTGATAGTCGCGGCCAGTAATACTGTTGGCGTACTCGGGCGAGAGTTCGCGAATAGCCCAAATGTCCTGACGTGGGCTCGTCGTGGCACGCCAGGAGGATTTCATCACGCATGTCGGTAGGAACAACGAGTAGGAAGGCCTTGTCGCTACCACGGGCGTTTTTCTTGTAAAGAATGCCTCTTCTTAGACAAAAAGAGGACAGTTCGCGAGCAATGTGTTGAGGGACCTGAGAGTTGCGGCCTTCCAGGGAATCAATGACTGGGCGTAATTCATCGTCTGCCCGCTGCTTTGACATAAATTCGGAGTCACTAACTGCTCCGAGAAAGGCATCTTCATCTTCGGAGCCCCTGACAGCGTTCCCCACAGGTGCTCGAGAAAGCGCGTCGGCGTCTTCGTGTTTGCGCCCTGACCTGTACACAATCGTAATGTCAAACTCCTGCAAACGCAAACTCCACCGTGCGAGACGGCCGGAGGGATCTCTGAGATTTGCCAGCCAGCAGAGCGAGTGGTGGTCAGTCACCACTTTGAAGGGACGACCGTAGAGGTAAGGCCGAAATTTGGTCGTCGCCCACACGACTGCGAGGCATTCTTTTTCTGACGTAGAATAGTTGGTCTCAGCTCGAGAAAGAGTACGACTGGCGTAAGCTATCACATGCTCAACGCCGCCGTGTCGTTGTACAAGGACAGCGCCAAGTCCGACGTTGCTGGCATCTGTATGAATTTCTGTAGCAGCGTCCTCATCAAAATGGGCAAAAACAGGGGCTGTTTGCATTCTCTGTCGTAACTCTGTGAACGCTGTATCTTGTTCTGCGCCCCAAGTAAAGGGTACGTCATCTCGGGTGAGTCGCGTAAGAGGTTCAGCTATCTTAGAGAAGTTGGCGATAAATCGGCGATAATACGCGCACAAGCCGAGGAAACGGCGTACTGCTCTTTTATCTGATGGGACAGGGAAGGCGGCGACAGCAGCAGTTTTGTCTGGATCAGGTCGCACTCCATCTGCACTAATGACATGTCCCAGAAATATCAGCTCTTCATAGCCGAAATGGCATTTTTGGGGTTTCAGCGTAAGTTCAGCTGTGCGAATGGCTTCCAGAACCTTTCTCAGACGCTTCAGATGTTCTTCAAATCTCTCGGAAAAGATGACCACATCATCGAGGTAGACAAGGCAGCTTTGCCACTTCAAGCCAGCGAGAACTGTGTCCATCATTCTCTGAAAAGTGGCTGGTGCAGAACAGAGGCCGAAGGGAAGAACTCGGAATTCGTAAAGTCCGTCTGGAGTCACAAACGCGGTTTTTTCTCGGTCTCGTTCATCCACTTCAATTTGCCAATAGCCACTCTTTAGATCGATGGACGAAAAATACTTCGCACGTCGTAACCTGTCGAGGGAGTCGTCTACTCGTGGAAGCGGGTAGACGTCCTTTTTTGTGACGCTATTAAGCTTCCTGTAGTCAATACAGAATCGCAGCGTTCCGTCTTTTTTCTTTACTAGAACGACTGGCGAGGACCAAGCGCTGCTGGATGGTTGAATAATCCCGTCATCGAGCATCTCTTTTACTTGTGTCTGAATAGCCTCGCGTTCTTTGGCAGAAACGCGATAAGGCTGCTGCCGGATGGGGCGGACGTCATCGTCGGTAATAATTCGATGCTTCGTGAGGTGTGTTTGACGGACTTTAGAAGAAGAGGCGAAGCAAGATCTAAACTCCCTTAAAAGGTCGTGAAGTGCAGCCTTTCTCTCGTCTGACAGCGTCGAATTAATGTCGATGTGGTCCAGAAATTCCTTATCCTCATGCGTTTCCTCGGACGCGAAGCACTCCGTGACGTCGGCAACAGGTTCTCCATAAGCTAGGGTGGTTCCACGGAAAAGATGCCGGTGCTCGTAATTGAAGTTCGTAGCTAGTATCATTGACTGTCCGTCACGGACGCGCACAACACTTCGGGCGGCGCATACACCTTGGAGCAGCAGAAGTGATAAGTTGCTTTCAGCCACCACGTCGCCGTCTTGGAAGTCTTCACAAGTGACTTCGATGGGAACAGTTGCTCGAGGTGGCAGCGTCACACTGTCGTCAGCAACACGCAGCGCAAGTCTACGGCAGTTATCGACGTCTCGATCTGTTGCGCCTTGAGTCGAGAAGGTCACGATGCGCTCACGGAGATTTATGATGGCACCGTATTCCCGAAGGAAGTCCATGCCGATAATCAGCTGACGCGAACAGTCGGGGAGAACGAGGCAGCTGAGCACAAACGTTGACGCACGAATTTTCACTCTTGCGGTACAGCGACCCAGCGGTGTTACAACGTGTCCTCCAGCTGTTCGAATTCGCGTTCCATTCCACGGCGTGATCACTTTCCTGAGATCTTTCGCTAGCCTCCCGCTGATGCTCGAATAGTCTGCACCAGTGTCTACCAATGCACTGACCTGAAGACCGTCAACCAGCACAGGTATGTCGAGCAACACGCGGTCACTAAGTTCAGATGCGGATGTCGGCGTTTCTTCGGCACTGCGATTATTCTCGGACGAAATGCCTTCGGCGTTGCGTGCAAGCATCGATGGGAGGTCTTCCGCACTTTGAGTCCCAGCGACCTTGCCCCCGAAGGCCGCTGCCTTCAGTTTTCCCGACGAGGGCTCGGGGAGCGTTCCCGTGCCGTCACCCCAAAACGTGGCCCAGTGGCTGCGGGTCTCCTCGGAGATGGTGACCGCGATTGCCGTCGTGTAAAGGGTGCACGCTGTTGCGCGAGATATTCTTCGATATCCCTTGGCCTTTGACCAATTCGGGGACGAGGGGAATTGACGGAAAATCCACGCAGTCCAAGTTGCCGGTATGGGCATTCGCGGTAAATGTGACCAGCCTCACCGCAATGATAGCAGAGGGGTCGTCTGTCTGGCGTACGCCAGAGATCAGACTTGCGCGTCGGTGTACGGCGACTATCGATGTCCAAATCAGCGTGCGCTGACTTAATCGCGACTGACGGCATCATTGTCTGGATCGGGACGTATGGCATTGTCTGGATCGGGACGTGCGGCACTGTCTGGATCGGGACGTGCGGCACTGGCTGGATCGGGACTCCTTGA